ATTGATCCACCAGGCGGCTCCTGGATTCGTGACCCTCTAGCGCAGACATGTTTGCTGGATCTTCTTCGGAGGACGGAAGCTGAGAATGGCTGGCCATGGTCATACATGGTCCAGAAGCTAACCCAAGAGTGGCGCTTGACCGTCAGGTAAAAGCTGTTTATCAGCGGACTCAGATCATTTTGTGCTGTTTCTCAACCGCGTCGTGATGATCATTCACTTTTTGGCAACCGACAAGTGCTTGACCACCACCAATTCTCCAGAGGTCTACCACACCTGACCGCTGTTTCTTGCTTTGTCCGATGCTCGCTACGAATCATGATCAGCAAGTGGGGAAAGGTCCAGCCAGTGCCGGAGTACGCCGGCTTGCAGACGCTGGCAGTCTGGCAGGCCGACCCGCAAGACAGCTGTTTCCTCGCTAATGCAGCCTCGGCCGAATGGAGTCGGCTCCTTTCGCACTTTATCACAATAGCGTGTGGGACCGGGGAGGAGGCTGTTGGGATTCTACCTCGCTTATTCGCCGTGGCGTGCTGAGTGAGTGGGTCTTATGACCATACCCACTGACTTGTGATAAGCCTCTTGAATGGGTAGTCTACTGCACGCGAACGGGTTGTTAATTTACCAGCATGGAAGTCTGATCCTCGACCCTGGATCACGACATGAGGAACATATATCCGAGCAGACCATCGGACAAAAACAAAAGTACTACTAGCTTAAGTAGTTTATGACATTTTCCTATGTATATAAATACCCAGAAGTGTACTCCAATAGTATAGATACACATGATAAAAAGATAATTAACCAAGAAGAGTAGGGATATCATTAACATATATATAAACAAATCCACCTCCCCAGAATGAAAGATATTTTACGGAACCACATCCAAAATCACACACATCAATAAAACCCCATGCCCATCCCCATACCCATCCCCCCATCCGCCTGAAACGGCAAATTCAGAATCTCATCACCCAGCATATTCCCCAACATGAACAAATTCTCGGGATCAAACCCCATCTGCACGCCCAACTCGGGAACAAACAACCCTTGTATCGTATTTCCTCCTCCCGCTCCTCCCGCACTAGTACCAGCACTAGCACTAGCACTAGCACTAGCACTACCAGCACCAGCACCAGAACCAGGAGTACTAACCACCATCCCATTCCCGTTACTCGCATTGTTCGGATCCGTTCCGAACCCTTGGACATCTTGGTATGAGGGACTGAAAGTAGGATAGAATTGGCGGGGTGGAGGGGGGTATTGTTGGACCCAGGTTGATGATGGTTGTTGTTGTTGTGGGTCGGTAGTTGAGTCGGTGGGGTGGGTGTGAGTGTGAGTGTGAGAATGAGGGACGGGGAGGTCAGATGATGATGATGATGGTGGGGATTGTTGGGGTTGGGTGGTGAGGAGGTCGGGGTATGTACTTGTGGTGGTGTTGGTGGTGGTGTTGGGTGTGTAGATTGGTCTATTGGTGGTGGATGTTGATTGGGTTTGGGTTGGGGATGGGTTGTTGGTTGTGGCTGTAGAGCGGGATTGAGGATCGCCCATGGCGACTTCGCTGAGGAGGTGGAGGGGGGTTTGGCCTTGAGTCTGGTTTTGTTTGTCTTGTTGGGGGGGTTGCTGGGTATGATGGGTTAGTGAGTGTTGAGTGTTGGTATATATAGGGATGGATATGTAGGATGGGGTAATCGAACCTGGAGTCGCTCTTCATCAGAGCACTTGTACAGTGATAATGCTTCCTTGAGGACAGGACCCTGGTCTTTACGTTTCATGAACCAGTTCCGGAGGAGAGTCAGGACAACGCTGAATTTAGCTGGGGTGCGACCGCCCGGGGTTTCGCCGGCTTTGGTGTAATGACGGATGACCTTGTCCAGGTAGTATTCTGTCTTGAGGCTGCTGAGGTCGATGACTTGGGCCATGCGGGTGTCTGGGCTGGAGACGATGGAGTAGATCTTGATGAGGGCGACGATGGCGAAGGAGGTTCGGGCCAGAGCGACGGTCGGGGTTAGGACGAGGTCCTTGGTTTCGATGGAGCAGATGGTGTCGATGGCGTCGTGGATGGAGGTCAGGCAGGTGCTGAGGGCGTTGATGTGAGCTGGGCTGGTGGGGCTGGCGAGATCGTCGTTGGCGGTTTTGGGATCGTCTCGGTGGAATTCTACGTGCATGGCGTTCTCGTGGAGGAAGAGGTTGATGATGCAGTCGGCTTGTTTCAAGATGGCTGGGGGTGTGGTTAGTAGGTAGGTAGGTAGGTAGCCGGGGAATTGGGATTGGGGGGTTGACGTACGGGAAAAGTGCTCTTGTGGAGTTTCTCGGCGCCATTGGTCCAGTTGTCTTTCAAGAACGCGGAGCGTGTAGAGGAACTTTGGGTCTGAGAAGGATGATACGGTAGGGGCGTCGTCGCTGGTGAATTGGACGGCTATATCTTCGAGGATATGGGCTAGCTTTGCCCATTGGATCATGCCTTTGTCGGATGGTAAGGCCTCTGGTGACTTTTCGAGTATTTCCACGCATTCATCCATATATGGCATCCATCGGACTAGATTCACGCGTCTCAAAGAGACGGCACACCTGTATGGCTGTTAGCGGCTAGTTGGCACGATGAGTAGGGGGGATTGAGAGACGAACTGCACGGCGACGAAATAACAAGCAAGCCAAGTTCGTCTCGCCTCGGCTGAATCCAGGTCTACAACGATAGATGACTTCTTCGAGATGAGCTCCTTGACTAGGGCGAACGGCTTGGACTTGGGGATCGCCTTCCGATTGAGACCCAGATCCATTGCGAGTGAGACAGCAATGTTTGACAACTGATAGAATTTGACCTCTTCAAAGTTGTCTGGTGGCGTGTACCAGTTGCAGCAGACTAGGATCGCCTGGACTAGATCCAGTGACTTTTCACCTTTCACGATAACTCGTTCGGCAAGCACTTTGTACAATTCATCCAGCAACGATAGCTGCAGGTGTGGTTGAATAGTACCGATCGCGGCTGCAACTATAGCGTGAAACAGCACCGGCTTCTTCTGCCGCACCTCATCCATTGTTGTGCCTGGTGGGAACACCACCATAGGTATGAGGGTGGCCATTCGATCGACGTACTTGGTGAATGCCTCCTGAGCCAGTGTCTCACTCACGACGCCTCGGTCAATCAGATCACCCCCGCCCTCGCTGGCCGTATCTTTCGGCTGTGTCTCCAAGCCGTATCCCATAGCCCGCCATTGTTTGAGAGCCTTATTGTACAATGACTGGTCGTCGCTAGGGCTCGAAGTGCGAGAAGACACCGGAGCAGTCTCTTTGATCTCCCCACTATGCCGCCGCTTGCTCCCCGCCGTGCTGGAAGGTGACCTCAAGGGTATCGATCCATTAGTAGAGGCATGCGCCGTGGATGAGAGCCAACGCCTTCCTGGGTGCTCCTCGCGCGGCGGCTCAAGAGCGGCGGGCGGCGGAAGAGGGTGCGGTTCGTGGCCCTGGGAGGCCTGCAAGCTTGCCGTCAAGGCATCAATCTTCCTCTCCAGCTCCGCCACGCGACTGTCGGTCTTCTTCTGGCGCTTGCGCGTGGGAACGGTCACGATACAGTTCCGGCCGGCCTTGGCGCATCGTTTACACGTGCCATTGGGATGGGTGAGATCGGGCTCGCATCGGACTTTGAGTTGACGGCATGCTTCGCAGGCGCGCGGACGTCGCAATTCGGCATACGGATCGTTTGGATCGACGGGGTCGAGTTGAGAGGAAGTGCTGGGCACCGAGCCAGGTTCAGGCCCGCTTCGGTATATAGATGGCGTCGACTGGGAGTGCGCGGCGCTGCCGTAGTAGCCGGGCCCACTTGCAGACGAGACGGCGGATCGCAGCTGGTCAGCGGGAGAGTAAGGGGACGGTGGTTCGGGGTAATCGCTGCGGCGTGCAAGAGTGGAGGGACCGGCGGCATTGGGGTCGGGATGTCTGGAAGAGACCGGGGGAGGGATATATTGACGACCGGCTGCGGTGCCGTCGGCAGGAGAGCTGTCACTGCCAGCACGCAGACGCGGATCGATCTCCATCGGTTTGCGGGGACTGGGTTTAAGGCACGTCAGCCTGGGTTGTACGACGGGTGGATGATGGTCGCCATGGCCAACGGAGAGCAATATCACGACCGGCAAGGATTTCCGATCGCTTGGCCGCGCGCGCGCGTTAATCCTAGAAGGGATAGTAGGGAGACCGAAATGAACATCAAGCTTACATTTTTAATTTGAGAGAAAAGAAGATGAGGGGGGAGGGAAAGGCACGACGCCAGACTCGCTTGGGAGGCTGCAGTTGGGCGAAGGTCGGAGAACCGGACGGTCGGTGACCGACAGCCGACCGTGGAGGCCTCAGGCGGGGGCGTGTTCAAGCCTTAAAAAAGGAGTCCCTCCAGGAGATGCTGGATCAGATGCATTAGATATCGGGAACCACGTTCGAAGAAGATGGTGCTTCACTGCCGGGTTTGATGCGACAGATTGTGCGAGGAGAAAGAGATGACAAGAAGAAGAAAGCAGAAAAGAGAGAAAACGCGGAGACGCGAAAAGACGAGCGAAGGAGCCTCAAGTGGAGGGGCGGCTTTCTGTCGCCTGCGATTTCTTGTTTCTACGTCTCTCTCCTAATCTGCCGCCAGACCATAAAATATAACTATACGAATGATTCCATAAAATCATCCATTTCGATTCATAATGGCCAGGAAGATCAAATTTCTTCTTTGACGCATATCCCATAATTATCTAGGCTCGAAATGATGGATGGATGACTCAACAACACCCTCAGGCTGCCATTCCTATCTATCGCTGCTTACGTGTGCACCAACGGCCATCTCATCCCCTTTTCGATCCATAAGTCAGTTACCCTTATCGGTCACGTCTCTGATCAATGAGTATGTAAAAGGTGTAGCATTCGTAAATGTCCAATGTCCGGGGGAAACAGCAGTCGCTCTAACTAAATGGCCAAGAACTCACGCGCCGAAGTAATTGCATCAAACATGAGGGGGAGATCAAGAACACCAACCAGAGAGAAACTCATCACTCTCTTCAACCAAACACAAGAACCCCAAGCTGCTTGACAGCTGCAAAACAAGTTAGAATGAGACAACAGACAACAGGGCCGGGACGCCGGCTCGGCGAAATAGTGCTGGGAAGAAGAACATTTGCCTCACCAAAGGAAAGAAAAACAAAGCCACCATCAGACCGACAAGAAGGCGGAAATCCAGCCGCAACCAAGCTTGCACAGTACAAAAAGAGGCCCCGCTATAAAACCACAAAACACCAACATGAAAGACATCAGGCTCGTTCAGGAGACTTTATGCACCGGGCACTCCTTCTTCCGCTCAAACCATTCAACGATGCATCGCTTGTGGAATTTGCACAGACACTCCAGCCGCACCAGCGACTGCCCAACCTCGTATTCTTCCATGCAAATGGTACACTCCTGTAACCCTCCATCCTGTCCCACGCAGTCCTTCTCCGTCGCCTTGAATACAACCAGACGAACGGGAACGGGTGACGACGCCGCTGGGCTACCGTTCTGCGGGGACATGCGACCCTGTCGACCATGGCTTTCAATACAGTCACGGATATGCGCCTCCCGACTAGTCTCGTCCCCGTTGTTGCCCAAAGGTGGAAGCTCTTGGTCACAGATCGGACAGAGATCGCGCTCTTCGACGTGAGGCCGCCGCCACGGCGCTACCCCGAGAGACGAAGATCGGGCTGTCGACGATACGGGCAATGAACTGGCACTCCCCGCACCCGGATACGGCAGCGGTCGAGAGGAGGCACTGGAACCCATGGAGATGGGATGGAAGCGGGAACTAGACAATGATCCGTAATCGATGGGCCTGGGCCGTTCCTGCAGCCGTGGAGCAAAGGCACCGCCCAATCCACCAAACGTGGTATAATCGCTTGAGCCTACAGTCCGTCGTCCTGGTCGTGAGGGAAATGTACCTGGCTGCTGCTGTCATCTTGTTAGTGGGGGGAAGATCATTCCGAGAAGGCAAACATTGAAACTCACCAGGCCTCCACTGTGGGTAATTTGATTAGCGGGCGATGACACGGAATGATAAGATCGATGTCCAGATTGACTGAATGAAGTAGGGTAAGCCCCCTGCCCTATGCCCGAACGTGAATCTGCTCCCCCGCGGCTCCGAACCGTCGCAAACCCACGAGGCGGGTCTGGGTTGGGATCTGGGACGCAGGGGTTACACAGCCGCACCTCCTCCCCGCCCCCCAGGGCCGGGTTGAGGGCAGTTGGGGAGGTGGCGGCGTCATCACCTTCCAAATCAATGACGGGAGCCGCGCGCGGGGGGATCAGAGAGGAGGATGCATAAGAACGATTGGGGTCGCGCACGATGAACTGTCGGGGAATAGTAATCCGGTGGGGGGAACATGACGCACACACGACCCGGCCACATTTACGGCAGTGATGCTTCCTGTACCAAAAGCTGAACGTTGTCCCGCAAATGGGACATTTCGTCACCTCCGCATCAGGCTGCCATTGCGGCCGTGTATACTCCACATAAGCACCAGTACCCGTCCGTGACCACGATCCTCGACGGTAGTTATCAGTCGAGCTAGATATACCCTGCGGCCGAGACTGCGGTGGGGGTGATGTTAGATCGATGGGATTGGCATATGACGAAGGAGGAGGATCCTGGGGCGTCTGCGTTTGCGTCTGCGTCTGCGTCTCGAACGAGGAAAACCGGGGAATAGGCCTGCTATCCATTGCTGCTGCTCGACTGCTACTGCTCGGCCCGGTTTCCGTCAACGGCTCGGGAACTGCACGCCTCGACCACGCATCCGCCTCCAGACTGACTATCCGTCGCTTACGATCCGACCCGCTGAGAGTGGATCGTCGTCTTTCAGTACGTCTATCTAGTGGAGGACCGGCCTCACTTGTCCGTAAATGCTCCGAGCTCGCATGAGCCCTGAGACCAGAAGAAGGCGGTGGGGCGGCGAAAGCGGCGGCTGCGGCTGCTGCTGCGGTGGTGGTGGTGGATGAAGCAGATCGGGAAGACGCCGGACTCGACAGGGACGACATGAACTGAGGGAAAGAAGCAGGCGTAGAAAAGGTCGATGCTGAAGCTGAATGTCTGCCGGACGCTGCAGAGGAGACTAATCTCCGCCGTTTGGACGACGGACCGTCATTGACTGAGTGGCGCGACGAGGCCAGGATTGGGGGAGGGATAAGGCAGACCCGCGTGTCCGGGTAGCGTGTAGCAGGCGTGAATGATGAAAGGGGAGAAGACTGATTCTGGGGTACAGTCTTCTACCTGAGGTGGAAAAAGAAGAAGGCAGATTAATTGGCAAGAAAAACAAAAAAGCAGATAGACAGTGGATGCAAAGGTTTGAAAAAAAGAAAATCAATCGAGAACGTTCGGACTTTTGGGCGTCGAAGGCAAATCTTCGGCCAGGAGGGGGGTCTCGTGACTCGGGCGATGAGAAGGAGAAGCACGCGCCCCGAACAAACACCAGCACCAGTTCCTCCCTGCTGACAACAATTTGATCAGGAAAGGGATGACCAACGCGGCTTGCGACAGGGACAAGAGCTTGCCATCCGCAAGAGTGAGAGTGTGTGTGAGGGCGTGATGGTCAGGCGCTTTGCCGCTGGCTGACGTTCAACAAGCCGAGGATTGGCCGCGGGGCAAAATGGCGGTCCGCGAGGTGAGCTCTTAAGTTAATTAGTACTTGCTCGATTCTTTGTCTCTTCTCGGTATCTGTGGGTGTGTCTGTGTGCCTCTTTTTTCATCAACCACGAGGCTCGCGCCGATTATTCCGATCAGGGGTGACCAGACTAGCCCAATTCCGTCAGAAGTATTTACTATCACTGTTTCTAGCCAGGTCTCGGAGAATCCAGGGACACCGTGCATATGGACTGACCATTGATCTGGTGGATCAACCAGCTCTGACAGTCAGGCCACCGGGGGATCTCTCCTCTCTTCAAGTAGAGATAGGCTGGTGCTCGGGTTATGCTGCCGTTGATGATTTCACATGTCTCGTATCTCAACACTTATCCTTTAACAATGGATTACAATCGCTCTATCCCCTAAGTATGGGTATAAATATTTCACTAGCATAGTTATTGCTAAATAGCATTATCAGCACTAATGTAAACGCCTATCCTCCATTCTCCGTTCAAATATAGTTAAATGAAAATATTGCCTAACAGTCCATACACGAAATGAATCCGCCAACCTATACAAGATGCGACGCTGGGATTGCAGAACACAAAAAGGCCGTACCCTTGCCGGAATGGCCGGGTTACAGGGGAAAGGGGTCGAAATCGTGGCTGCCGTAACTGCGGGCCACGATGCAAGAGCAGGGGAGGTTTAGACAGAAGATGGGGATATGAGACAAAGGTGGATACAAGAATGAGAAAAAGAGGAGGGAAAGAAAAGAAATAAAAGACACACGCTGGCCAGCAGAATGCTGCGGGATCCGGTTGCTTATTTAACGGAAATCCAAACCCATATATCACAAACTCCTTGCACATGATCCTTTTGTTGACGACACAGTGGGGAAAAGAAATTCGTCATCTCCACAGCAATGCCGATGGAAGATAGCTTCGCTTAATGCTTTCAGACTGACAAGGCTGCCTTCAGTGTGCCTCATCGTCGTGATGCGCTTCATCCACCAGTTCAGCGGCGCTGCCCGCAAACGATGGTTCATCCGGACTGGCTTCGTGGATATTATCTTGAGTGCGGTACTGTGCGACGTAACCCATACTGGATGGACGCTCAACACGTGTGCTTCCATCGTTTACCCGACGACTTGATGTGGTGGATGCGGTTGTGGAAGCAATGGAAAAATTGCGATCTCGGGAGGGCGAGCTGGTAGCAGTGAATGGTAACCGACCCGTGACTGAGGCCGACGGATGGAGTTGCCCGGGATTATGAACAGATGGTGCTCCGTGACCGGATTCCATTGATTGCAGGGCGGCGGTATCTGTCACCACAGAGAGAGGGTTTTGCGTCAAATCCAGCTCTTCCGGAGCCAGAGAACGTATAGAGCCCTGGCGTCCGGCACCCGGTCGAGACGGAGACTGAGAGCTATGCTGAGAACCCGCGCGACTCGGAAGCTCAATGTCGCCGCCCGTTTCTACCTTGGGCAGAACAGTCTGCGTCTCCGTAGACCGCTCGTTGTTTCCTTCACCGTCCGAATCACGGTATTGTGCATTGGCCTCCGAGGCCTCACGGTTCTGCTCTGCGGCAGCCTGCTCGTCAGGTTCGTCCCGGTAGGGTTCATGTTGGTCATGGAACTCTTCACTTTCGGGGAAGAGACCAGGTGGTGGTGCTCTGCTGCTGCGCACGACCTCGAAGCCTTTTCCTTTCTCCTTGGTTTTTCCACGGAACAGACTACGAAAGAAGCCGGTAGCAGAAGAAACCGGTCCGGTGGGATCGGCTGGACCAGTCTTCAATTTGCGAGTGCCCGATTGGGATAATGGCGGCCCCCGGACTCGGTAGTAGAAGTCAACTTCACGGACCGCGTAGTCCTTGCGTGACTGCCGGGGATCATCAAGGTCAAGGTCATCTTTTGGCGCCGGAATATACGCGGGAGTAGGCGTGCCCCTCCCAGAGACCGACGGCCCTTCGATAATGTCATCATCGATCTCCCCGTAACTTGAAGATCTGTGCGTGTGCCGCGATGCTCTGCCCTTCTCTCCGGCAGCTCCCATATCCACGACCTTCTTGCGAGGCCGCGGTGGCCGATAGTAAGGGTCATGCGGATGCATCGCAAAGACGGGACCGCTCTTCGGGGAGTTACTTCCTGGGGTTTGATACCCAGCAGCAAAGCCACCGGGTGTTGAGGGCGTAAAGAAACCGCTACTGTTGGCCCGACTGTGGTTTCCGCCATGCGCGCTGCCGGAATCAAAAATTGCACTAGCCCGCCCTTCACTTGCACCAGCACGGTTCAAAAGCATGGCTGAGCTTCCGGAAAGACTACGAGGTCTCGATCCGTCAAACTGAGATGACAGCCTGTCATCGGTGTGCGCTAGCATGGCAGCTTCAGATCCCATGCTTTGACGAGTGGCGACGCTTTGTCTGGGCACACGCCGTGACAGTTGCCGCATACCGAATACCTTAACCAGGCCACCGCGGGTAACACCTCCTTCGTAACCACCCGCACCGGCGAGTCGTGCAATGACTTCGATAAGGGTCTGCAGAGCGTTCAAAAAGAATCCGAATACCATGACAAGCGCATGAAGGAACAGAATGATATAGCCAATCCATCCTCGACCGGCCTGTGAGATGTTCAATGAAGGAACAAAAACGACGCTGAGCAAGATCGTCAGGAAGCGAACGATGGAGAAGCATGCGTGGTAGAGGTTCATCGACGTTGGCGACGGGAACGGTTTGAAAGCTATCAGTGTCAAAATCGACACCACCTCGCAGATAGCCAGTAGTACGATCTGGGCAATGCCGGAGGGCTGTAGCGCCCCAATTGCAATACCACGAACGAACGTAAGAAATATTGGCACCAAAGCGAAGGCAGCTGCATCGTCACAGAAAGTGTTGTAAAGCGGGCCGTAGAGTAGTACGGTCGAAAGATCGTCGAAAAGGTAGGACTTGGGCCGAGTGTTCGCAATGAGCCGCACTGTCCAAAGAGAGAAGGCTGCCAGGATCACTATGACCACAACTGCGAGTGCGACAGAATATGCCGGGGATTCGCTGGCAATAACCAACTGGAAAAAGGATATTGATAGGATCGGGAGCAGTAGAAAATTGAAGACGACGCGGACAATGTTCCCAACGGTGAAAGGCATGTTTTTAGATCGAAGGTCCTCCTCTGGATTATTGGCGATCTTGCGGGAGATTGAACGCAAGCCAAAAACCACCTGGATTAACAGCGTGACGACGACTAGAATTACCAGTAGCCAAACCATCATTCCCGGCCAAATATCACGCGCTGCAGGCATGCCGACATATTGATCCAGTCTGTCCAATCCGTAGGTAGCGTTGACGGCATACACACCGTCCTTGACGGGGTTTTGCTCATTTCCGGGATCCAGGAAACTCTGATTGAACATGAGTACGGACCAAGCAACCCGGCTTATCACAGGCTGATAGAAACCAGGGTAATTCAGGGTTAGAGAGCCGGTCAACACTGCAAACTGGATGTACTGTAGGCAGTCTCCAAATCCAGGCGTTACTAATCGAAGCACATCTTCGTCACGCCCATAATTACTAGTCCAGTGGAAGGGGTCCGTAGTACCCCATGGGCTATAGATCGCTGCCGTTACCGTGGCGATTCCGACCAGGACAAGAATGACGAGGGGAATATAAGCCAAGGTGCTTTTCAGAGACGACCCAAGATCGGGGGTGATTGCGACGGATATACAACCGAGCTTCGTGGCAGCAGCGTCGCCAGACTTGATCACGAGTCTTGACGACAAGGTCGAAAAGTAGTATGAGGAAAGCATATCGTGTTCAATCGAGAAGGCGCGCAAAGCGGACAAGTCCGACCTATACAGCGAGGATAATGTTAGCCAGTGCGCGATGACAGTATACAACAGCGCCGAAGAAAACGGGATTCCTTACGAGTTGACATAGAAAACGGGGCCCAGGGGGCAAGACCCCTGGAAGACCGAGTCGCAGAATCTCGACGGTTCATTGTAAGGAGAAAAGCTCAGAACGTCGATTGACGACAGAAGGGTGGAGTATTTGTTGTTGGCAGTATCCAGATCCACGATCTTTCCGACAGTGTCATTCGGGTTCGACCACTGGGGGTCATCCGGCGACGGATAAGTCTCCCCGTTCGCAGTTCCCGAGACGTTGCCATAGACTGATATGTTCAGAGGGTGAAGGGAGTCGTGCTGTTTGAAAACAACGGAGACATCGAATGGGACGAATTGCAGCTGTTGTGGTTCCGATTGAATCACAGCGGGTTCCAGGCAGTTCTCGAAGTCCAGTAACACCGCAGAGGCAGGAGGTATCCAAGATATCAACAACACAACCAGCATCAAGCTAATACCACTGACCCATGATCGATCTCTGCGCCATCGCCATCGCCGCGTCGTTTGCTGATCCTGCACGAACCCGAAACCTTGGATACCCTGTCTTCTGGTCCCGACAGCTGAACTCGCATCATGGTGCCATCTCGCGTTGCAACGTACAGACATTTCGGCCATCGACGGCGAACGGGATGACCTCCTCGGGGAGGTCAGTCCCCCCGTAAATGATTCAATCCACGTTGTCCAAGCAGTGTCGGAGAATGCCAATAAATCCAGGACCTCGGGTACCTGATCAGGCTCCAAGTATAGCGAGTGACGTTTCCCGGTCGAGATTCAGCGAATGAACGGTACGGTAGATAGGATTAAAAACGGGCGAGGTCGGCGAGGGAAGGGGAAGCTGAAGCTGGGATGAGGGAAATGGCAGGGTGGCTTGTGGATGATGGGCTATTCGAGAACAGGAGTGGATTACTCCTCGATCTCCCCCAGGTTGGTGATGTAGGGGATGCGCACCATCACTTCGGGGGTTGGCGGGGAGGGGAATAGGCCAGGCTCGGAAGGTGAGGCAGTAAACACGGGAAGTCAGCAGCAGCAGTTGGTTAGTGGAGAGAGAGAGTAGAACGAGTGGGAAGCCCGATACGATGGGCGGTTTAGACTTTGTGCAAGGAAAAGAAAGCACCACGCCTGTGAATCTGCGACAAGGCAAAAAAGGGAAGCAAGAAGGGAAAAGGGTTAAGGAAAATTAAGATAGTGAACAAGAAAGAAAAAGAAAAAAAAAAAAAAAAAAAAAAGTTGGCATGATTGGTATGCGAGGCCCCCCAGCTCGGGCTGAGCGAAAAGGCCCATCGATCCATCCACCATTAACGGGGGGGGTGGGCTTTGCTTTGCTTTGCTTGCCTGGCTGACTGACTTGACTGATTGACTGCGCCGCCATGTTTGTTCTCTTTGCTCTGTGGCAGCCGGGGCGCGACGGATTCAGTTTGGGGCGGTAGCACTGCTAGTAGTTAGTTTCCTAGTGGTGGGTGGCAGTGAGTGAGTCCAGTGGGTGGTGGCTTCTAAACTTGGCAACGCTAATCCTGAGGAACCAAGTCCCAAAGTCAGCCAAAAAGGCAACCCACCCATTCATCCACTACTTACTAGTTATCCGCACGCAGAACCTGGTCTACCGGCCGGAGGAGTACGTCTCTTTTTTTTTTGGTTAGTGAGTATCATCTGACTGCTAGTTGGATAATCGCTAGTATTGTACAGTTAGTAGTTGGTAGCTACGGAGTATCTACAAGCTGCTAACCCCAAAAGAGGCTCATGCTGAAAGGTTGTCTCACCCCTCAGTCACTAAAATTACTCCAAGTATCATGGTCCACGAATTACTTGACAACTATTATTATGTGTCGTTCATTCAGATTTGCTAATACCGCCTATTTTGCGCTTCCTTGTTTCGCAGCCACACCGTGGGCTCGGATCAACCTAGCTTAGCTACTGATTAAGTTAGGTATTGCTTAGGAATGGATGATGAGATGGCATCAGCCCCATGAAGGACCAAATGATTCGGGGCGGTGGAATATGACGGGCGGACAAAAGGTCGAATCCGGAAACAGAGCTGGGGAGCTGTGTCGGCTTTTTCCTGACTGATGGCCCATATTCGTGTAACATCCCATTCACTCACTTA